GGACCGTTTACGAAGTCTGGATGAACCTTCAGAGTCGTAAACTGAACTCACAGCAGAGAACACTCAGATCTGATTTATGACAACATCTGCATATCATAATAACGATAACAAAAGCAGCTCCTCAGACGTGTAACTGATGAGTCCGATGAAGAAGGAAGTAATAATGGAGCACATTACGATTCTTTACGTCCAATAAAAGCTGCCAAACCAGTGTTAGAACAAATCTAACATTACGAGAACCATCGAGAAAAAGTGAACAGCAGACAGAGACAGCAGGTTGGTCACATCAGCTCCAGTCGGTGCTGCTCCTCGATATTAATGTTTTCCATGGGGGGGAATAAAGGATATGCAGGGTGTGACTGAGGTGGGTGATCTGCTGCACCCTCAAACGAAGCAGCCACAAGAAGAAGAAGAAGAAGAAGAAGAAGACGAAGAAGAAGACGAAGAAGAAGAAGAGTGGTTTATTTGTACAGCACCAACACGCAGTCGATTTCATGTGCTTCATATTTTAGGGTAAAGATCCAACAGACAATCTACGCACGTGGAAACCAAACTACACCACCATCAGAGGTGGGCTTCAGGTGTGCACCAGTACTTCCTGAAACTATTGGCCTCCTGTAACCTCACGAGGTAAGACATGCTGCACTACATCTGCTTACTAGCTATCATGTACTGGATATAAAGTCCCAGTATGGAGAGTATGGCTACAACAATGACTTATTATTCAGACTTATGGATATATTCATGTCAAAAAGGTTAACAAATAACAATAAATGAATGCATAGGCTTTCACAGGTTTCAGGCCCTAATAAAACTCCACCAGCAGGCCACGAGTCTCAGAGCGAGTCCTGACTCAGGCCTCGGAGCTTTGCTGTGGGGAGGGACTGTAAAGAAAGACAAATGTTTTATGGTAAGGCCAACTGAGAGGAGTGAAAGAGCTTTCAACAGACACCCCAAATAAATCAAGCTTCAATAAACCACTTCCTCAAACTTCCTTTCATTGATTGAACCGAGGAAGAGTTG